TCTGTCTCTCTCTCTCCCTCCCCCCACCCCACTCGAGCATTCACACACTCTCTCTAAAAAAAAGTTAAAATTAAAAAAAAAAAAATCTGTGTAGGGGCGCCTGGGTGGCTCAGTCAGTTGAGTATCCAACTTTGGCTCAGGTCGTGATCTCACATCTTATGAGTTCGAGCCCCACATCAGGCTCTGTGCTGACAGCTCGGAGCCTGGAGCCTGCTTCAGATTCTGTGTCCCTCTCTCACTCTGCCCCTTTCTCACTCATGCTCTCTCTCTCTCTCAAGAATAAATAAAACACTAAAAAAAAAAAAATCTATGTGTATGTACATAGAAAACAGTCTGGCAAGAGAAACACTAAACTGTTCATAGTAGTTTGGGGAAAACATTCTCACATTTCAGTACTGTTTCAGCATTTTTACAATTAGCACATACTGTTTTTATATTAAAACTGATGTGTGATTGATTCCATTTTTATGCCATTCTGGAAAAGGCAAAACTACAGGACCAGAGAAGAGCACTACTTACCAGGATTGGGATTACGGGAAGGTGACTACAAAAGGAGACAAAGGAGCTTTTGGGGGTGATAGAAATGTTTGATATTTGGTTGACCTTGGTACCAGATACACATCTATATGAGTTTGTTAAACTATATGATAAAAAAGGTATATTTATATATAAATTACATGTCAACAAACCTGACTTTAGAAAATGAAATATAGGGAGAAAATATAGAAAGCAAGGACAATTTTTTTTTAATGTTTATTTTTGAGATAGAGAGAGACAGAGCATGAACGGGGGAGGGTCAGAGAGAGAGGGAGACACAGAATCTGAAACAGGCTCCAGGATCTGAGCTGTTAGCACAGAGCCCGATGCGGGGCTCGAACTCACGAGCCTTGAGATCACGACCCGAGTCAAAGTTGGGCGCTCAACTGCCTGAGCCACCCAGGTGCCCCAAGGACAATTTTTTAAATAATTTATTTATTTTGAGAGAGAGACAGAGACAGAACACGAGGTGGTGGGGGGGCACAGAGAGAAGGAGAGAGAATCCCAAGTAGGTTCCACGTTGTCAGCACAGAGCTGAGATTCTATCCCATGAACCATGAGACCATAACCTGAGCTGGAACCAAGAGTCAGATGTTTGACTGAGCCACCTAGGTGCCCTCAAAAGCAAGAACAATTTTAAAAATAATTTCAATTATACAAGTAATAAAATAGCTCATTATGCTTTTTAAAATAATTAGAATATTACAGGTAAATCTAAAGTCTTGTGTGTCATGAGTCTCATCCTTCCCTCCTTCCAAGAGGTAATCACTGATGTATGTTCTTGCAAATCTTTTTTAGAAAGTTAATAAAGTATGTGGCGTCAGAAAATATATAGCACTGGGTTTTTATGTGCACACGTGTATGCTCTTTGTTACACTGATCATTTAATGTGGTACCCTATTCAACACCTTCACTCATTTTTTTTATGTCTGTTGATAAAGATCTACTTCAATCAATCCAAATGTAGTATTGATTTTTTTTTCCCCCTTCACGTTAATGGTCATCATGCTGTACCTTATTCTGCAACTCTTGTCACTCAATGCTTTTTGGTGTCTAATTCACTCCTGGCAGCGCAGCAGATGGCGTTCCACTTTATGAACACACAACGCTCTGCTAATCCGTTAGCAGAAGAGGAGGTTCTTCCCAATTTTTCTCTTAATGGGAAGCTCTGCCTCCAGTGCTCGCCTGGTGGGGCCCCATCCGGGTCGATGGCTAGGGGTGGCACAAGTTTGTGCGTTTTCAATTTTAATAGGGTGGGATTCGTGTCTTCCGCCGACAGGTACCCAGAGCCGCCCAGAAGCGGATCTCCCGCGCAGCATACAACAGGTGCCACCCATGCCTACTGCAGCTGGCGACAGCTTCTCCCGCCCTCTCCTACAAACGCTCTTCCCTGCCACTCCCTCTGCGCCTGCCGGTCCCTTCCCAGCAAGCACCGCTCATATTTGCATATCAATTTACCTCCTTGCCTTTGCTACTATATAAAAACCAAAAGGTCAAATCATAAGTCTTTTTGTGAAGATTGCCCTCCGGGCCAGAATGTCTTGCAGTTCCTCCCCTTATCCAGAGAAACAAGAAATAGGAAATTACTTCAGCTTTGTTTTCACCTTTAGCATAAGAGGGATTCGCCAACGCTGCCACCCTGCCTTAGTTCCTGTTAAGGCAAAAAGGGCTTCTGTCGTGAGTGGCACACGTAGGGCAGCTCCATTGCTCTCCGTGCGGAATCGACATCAAGAGATTTCGGAAGCATAATTTTTTGGTACCCGGGCAGCTGGTGATCGTTGGTCCCGGCGCCCCTGTTTGAAGCAGTGCGTTAAGAAAGAATTTCAAGCCCGGTTTTGCTCGTATGGCGATGTCGTAATTACGAGCGCTGTTTGTTGTCCCTCTTTTGGGGGTTAGGTGCTAGTATGTGAAATGGTAACTGGAAAAAAACCTCTACGCACGTCTTTTTCTAGGAAGTCAATCAGTTACTGAAAAACGTCAAGGAGTTGTGATCGCCAGGGCGTATTCACAGCAGCGTTGGTTGTGGAAAAGTTGCTCAGGTGATTGCTGACGTAGAAAGAGCGGCTGTTTTCCGTATCACAGGTTAAGGAATTGAGGTTTAAACCAAACAAGTTACAAGTTTACTTAAGAGTACTCTGAATTACTCAGTGAGAATATCGGGCTTCCACCTAGGTACCTGTCTACAGGGGTGATTGAATCATCACACATAACTTATTTTGTAAAATAATGTTCCCCCTTAACCAGAACTATATGATATGTATGCATATATCTATGCCTTTCTAAAGCTGAGTTAGGGCTGCTGGGTGGCTCAGTCGGTTAAGCGTCCGGACTTCGGCTCAGGTCATGATCTTGCAGTACGTTTAGGCCCCATGTCAGGTTCTGTGCTGACAGCTCAGAGCGTGGAGCCTGCTTTGATTCTGTGTCTCCCTCTCTCTCTGCCCCTCCCCTGTTCACACTCTCTCTGTCTCTGTCTCTCAGAAATAAACATTTAAAAAAAAAATGCAGTATATGATACATCTAATACAAAAGACATGTTAGTCAACTGTTTTATAGTAAAGCTTCTAGTCAACAGAAGGCAATTTGGGGGGAGTCAAAAGTTATACTGGGTGAGGAGTTATACTATTTTTTTTTTTTTTTACAGTGGGTAAATGGTGGGAGGGTGGCACCCTTAAGCTCTGCAATGTTCAAGGTCAACTGTAGTAGTGATAGATCCAGTGCCTGACTTGACAAGGCTTAGTGAGGGGAGAGAATAGCAAACTGAGTACTACTGTGCTGAATTTGGCTGGCAGGAGGAGATCTGGGAAAGCTTTCCTGAAGCAAAGACTTCGTAACTGAAACCTGAAGAAGCAATAGAAGACCCCCACACAAAGTTGTGGGGGGGAAGGGCTGTTTAGGCAGAGGCAAAGTCTTGAGGGTGGAGCCAATGTGCCGCAGACAGACCAAGAGCTGAAAGACCAGAAAGGCCAGTATGAAACCAGCCGGGTGGCAGCCTGAAGAGGCCACTGACTTCTGGTCTCACAGGCCTTGGATGTTCCTTTGCAGTACTTTTTTTTTTTTTTTTTTTTTTTTATAAAGCATAAGGGATGAAGAGTTATCTCCACCATGTATCAGCACACTTTTTCTGTAAAGAGGCCAGATGGTGTATATTTTAGGTTTTGTGGTCATATGGTATCTACTAGCCACTCAACTCTGCTGTTGCAAAACAGTAAGAGACAACATACAAACAAGGGAGTGTAGCTGTGTTCCAATAAAGTTTTACCTACAGACACTGAAATTGCAATTTCATATAATTTTCGCATGTCATGAAATAATATTACTTTATTTTTAAAATCCTGCGAGCCATTTAAAAATGTGGAAACCAGGGGTGCCTGGGTGGCTCAGTCGGTTGATCATCCGACCTCGGCTCAGGTCACGATCTCATGGTTCATGAGTTCGAGCCCCGCATCGGTCTCTGTGCTGACAGTTCAGAGCCTGGAACCTGCTTTGGATTCTCTCTCTCTGCCCCTCCCCTGCTTGTGCTCTGTCTCTCAAAAATAAATAAACGTTAAAAAAAAATGATTAAAAAAATGTGAAAACCAGGGGTGCCTGGGTGGCTCAATTGGTTAAGCGTCTGACTTCTGCTCAGGTCATGATCTCAATGGTTGGTGAGTTTGAGCCCTGAATCAGGCTCGCTGCTGTCAGCACAGAGTCTGCTTCGGCTCCTCTGTCCCCTCTTTCTATGTTCCTCACCTGTATACGTTCTCTCAAAAATAAATAAATATTTAAAAAATAAATAGTGTGAAAACCATTCTTTTTTTCTTTAATGTTTATTTTTGAGAGAGAGAGAGGCAGAGTGTGAGTAGGGGAGGGGCAGAAAGAGAGGGAGAAACAGAATCCAAAGCAGGTTCCAGGCTCCAAGCTGTCAGTACAGAGCCAGACCTAGGGCTCAAACTCACGAACTGACCCGGGAGATCATAACCTGAGCCGAAGCTGGATGGCTTAACCGACTGAGCCACCCAGGCATCTCATGTGCGAACCATTCTTTGAGCTGTAGTTCACTGGCCCCTGGCCTACATATTCAAGAGCGGTAAGAACTCAAACCGACT